TATCTATCTATCTATCTATCTATCTATCTATCTATCTATCTATCTATCTACCTATCATCTATCTCTATCTATCATCTATCTATCTATCTATCTATCTATCTATCTATCTATCTATCTATCTATCTCTATCTATCTATCTATCTATCTATCTATCTATCTATCTATCTATCTATCATCTTTCTTTCTTTTATTATCCATCTAACCATCTACCTGTCTATATGTCTATTTATAAGATACATAAAATGTAGTATAGTTTTACTGTGCTCATAGTGTATAACATTTTTATAATGTATTTTATTATATCATATTCTGTATTTGTATGTTTGTCTAAGTGTGTAAGATGCACAGTAGCCAGGTTGCAGACAATACAGTGGGAATCTATAGAGATTCTAAGCCAAAGGAAACTGTTTTGGGGATAGTGAGAGAGAAAGTCAGCCTCAGAGCCCCACTCTGAGGGGTGTGGTAATGTGGATGCTTTATTCAAATCACTTACTACATGAATCACATAGCGCTTCCTGCCAGGCCCAGGCACTGTGCCAGGCACCATGAGCAAGTCTGAGACGCTTAGAGTGGCTGAGCTGGAAAATTCCATTTTGTGACCTCTCTCTCTGAGAGGACTTCTTGGATCTGCCTGAATGTGTAAGATGTGTATCTGTTCAGGCCATAGGTAACGACCATATTTTGTGTGTCTCCTATTGGAGTCCATGGATCTCTGAGGGTTCAGGATGTGATGGGCCATGAGTTTTCCACAATATTTGATTTTAAGTGTCACTTTTTTCATCTGACAATAACTTAAATCTTAATAGAAATGAATTTGGGGTCATCTGTCATCTGTGGACCACTTTAACAATATCTCCCCATCAGAGATGATGGGCACAAAATGATTACAACCTTTTTATCTTCATTCGTCCTGAGCAACTGAGAGTGAGGTCTGGCAAAGGAGAGCCTCACCAGTGAAGCCCAGGGAACACCTTCCTGTCAGCTCCCCACAAAGGTTCCAGAGTATTTGCAAAAGGAAATAATCCAACCATTTTATACGACTCCACCAGAATATGAATATATCAGATTAAAACAAAACCAGCTTCACAGCAGTCAGTGGTCACATTCGCAGAGCCTCCTTAGGAGAAAACGGGCCGGTGAGCTGGTTTAGCAGGCGAGGGGCTTACTCCATCGAGCCTAATGCACTAAATTTGATCCCACACATGGTGGAAGGAGAGAACCCGCCCTTGCAAGCTGCCCTCTGGCCCCTCACACGCTGTGCTGTGTTCGTTTGCACACACACAGAATAAAGACATGAAAAACGCTCTTACTAGTGTGTGCAAGAGGGTTCAGCAGGTAAAGGGACTCGCTGCCGAGCCTGACAATAAATAAGTGAACATCACTTTTTAAAAATTTAACGAAAAATTATTTTTAGCTTAGTTTACTGGTTCATGCTTGTAATCCCAGCTGTTGGGAAGCTGAAGCAGGAGAATTGCTATGAGTTCAAGACCAGCCTGGGATATAGAATGAGACTCTACCTCAAAAAAACTTCCAAAAATATCATTGGTTTTAAGATTCATTTATTTTGCCACCCCATGGCCCCTTACCACCTGTGGCCAGTGGGCGAGCTGACCTTGCCCCTCACTGGCTGCAGCGCACAGGAGAGTGAACCCTGCACCTGTCTGGACAACACACCAGAGCTGACTCTGTTGTGGGGGCGGCCACAGATGAGCCAGCCCTAAGGGTGTGAGAGCAGGAGAGTTGGTCCTGCCCCTCACCAAGTACAGCGCTCAGGAGAGCGGGCCTTGCATCTTGTGGGCAACGGAAGAGCTGGCCCTGGCGGTGGGGGTGCATGTGAGCTGGCCCCGAGAGCGTGAGAGCAGGAGACCGGGCCCCAGGCCTTGCTGCCTGCTGCAGCCGGTGAGCTACATGGGGCAGTGTTGGAGAGCTGTGGCGGTGTCGATGAGGGGAAGCCGGCGGGCTGACCAACCACTACCACCCAGGCCCAGAAACAGGGCTGTGCGTTGACCCTCCCCAACATCCAAAAGGCTCCACTGTGACTTGGCTCCTGATGATTAACAGCTCTCGTTTATTCCGTAACCAGGCGTGTGTGATTGCTTGCATGTGAAATGTTGCCCACAGATCATGCTATGTGCAGGCTGGCAGTAATATTTTGAAAGCTATGGGACCTTCAAAAATCGGGGCCCGGCTGGTGCAAGAAAGGCACCAGGCCTTTGAAGGTTCTATCTGCCATTGGTTCTGACTGTTCTCTACTTCCATCTGTCACATGCAAACAAGCCACCATTAGAGGCCATGGATGCAGCCAAGCTACCATGCCTTTCCCCTTAAAATGGGTTGAAATCCCTTGGAAACGGTGAGTTAAGATTAATCTTTCTTTCCATGGGTCGTTTGGATAGGTATTTTGTCACAGTAGTGAGAAAGACCATTATTGTGACATGCTGCTTCACCGGTGTTGCCAGGAGAATTAGGAAAACATAAACACTTCATTCAGTACACCTTTGCCAGTAGAGCTTTTGATAAGTTCCTTTGCTATTTTAGGGGCTCAATTAATTTATAGAAAGTATGTGTCACATTAAAAAATTGGTAAGATCAGTCTTCATGGTCCACTAATCAGCTAAATTAGACTTTCTGCTGGATGAGCTGGTCTTCCTTCCTCAACTCAAAATGTTCAGCTAAGAGAGACGTAACACTTCCCATGACATCTCTCCTTGTTCACCCCCCACCCGGGAGGCAAGGAGACCAACAGTAGTTGGAGAGCAAAGGAGATGAGACCTTTGAAACTGTTTCTAAACTACCCTGAGGTCTGAAAACTCCAGCCCTGAAGGTGTGCTTCTCATTCACGGAAACAGTGCTCAGGGCATTTCTGACACTGGTACCTCCTGTGTCAAATGGCTCTGACCTTGGCACTGTCGTTTCCTCTACATCCTGTTGTGCCCACACGAGGTGCATTTCCCTCTTCAAAATCAAAGAAGGGCAGTTCTGGAAGGAGGAGACCAAAGCTGGCTTCAGCAAGACAGCATTAGAAAGGCTCCCAGAGAAGCCATGAATCTGGAAATCTGTTAGCCTGGGGCTACAACTGTAGTGCCGATAAGCAGAGACCCACAGATGTCCAGAGCGGATGCAGAAATTGATTTATGAAATACATTCTCAACTTTGGACTTCCTTGGGAATCTTGTCTGCTACTGATGTGCCTGACAGAGCTCCTAACCACATCCAGAAGGCTGCCCAAGCAGCATTCGGCCTCTCTGTCTGTCGGTAAGGACTGTGGCTCAGACCAGAGACTTCCCTACCTTTCTGATTTTTTTCCATGGTTTATGGTGTTTGTTTTGGTGTTTAGAGATTTTTGTTGTTATTGTTTTTATTTGTTTTCGAGACAGGACACTATGTACTTCAGGCTGACTTCCAACTGGATGTTTAGCTGATACCAGCCTTGAACTCCTGACCTTCCTGCTTTAACCTCCTGCCCCATTAGGTCATTTCTCTGAAGATGTGATTATAGATGTTCAAGTCAGGGATAAAATGACTTGAAATGTGGTTCTGACTCTAGTGGACAATGGTTTACAGAAATAGCCCTGTATATTTGAGTGCAACCTTAAACTTTCAAACTAATTATTGGTCAAGGTTATAATCAAATATTGAGAACTGAGTTCAGCTCCTCTGCAGAGCACTAAGTGTTGATGATTACTGAGCCACGTCTCCAACCCATTAGTGTTTTTCTAAGAAGATATAGAGGCACAGTGGGCAAGAGAAGTGAACCCCAGTAAAGTAAGACCCAGGAGCCTGACTCTACCCGAATCCAACAGTCTATAAATAGACACAGGAGGCCTCCCTGGCAAAGACCCAAGAGTTTTACTGAGGTGGATTTCTCTGGAGGTTTCCTTTGGAAGGAAAAGAAGGCCCAGGAATCAATCTCTGCAGGTTCTTTGCGCCCTGAAATGAAGGAATATGGAGTCATCTTGGGTTCTGGCCTAGAGGATGGAGTGGTGGAAATCTGTAGGGGAGGAAAAAAATGTGCTTATCAAGTTTCTGTGTCCCAGAGCTTCTGAACGAGGTGGAAATTATAGCTTGAGTCCTTTACTGTGGGAACATCTGGAATCCTAACATTTCTGGGCATATTAAGAAGACTATTTATAGTTGCCACCAATGTTAGGGGAGGCAATTATATGAAGTGCAACAGTACCATTAGGTATTTAAAACATACCAGGCATGCAATAACCATTTGCAAAGATTTAAAAAGTGAGTCAGTCTTTTAGGATCCATTTACTCCAGCCCAGTCTGTTGTCCCAAAGCAGCCATATGACAAGTCTCTGCTGATGGACCAAGTGATGTCATCATGTGAATCTGTCCTGCCCAAGTAGGCAGCGCCAGATGGGAACAGGAGACCAAGTTACTTGTGGGGTACAGAACCATAGCTGCTCAGAGTGAGTGGGTGAAGAACCACAGACACCAGACTTTGCCATTTACATACATAACATCTCCATGCTGAAAAACTTTGGAAGGTTATCAGAAACTCTCTTTCTTTGAAATATCTGCTTTCAACAACAGCAGTACCTCAAATACTTGACAGTTGTTTTAGGCCTCCAGATATATTTTGTGGCCGATTCAGTATGTGAGCTTGGGACAGCAGCATTAAAACTACCAACACTAGTGAAAAGCCAGTATTTGGCCATTTGTCTCAGCAGTTGGGGATAGTTCGTTGTGGTGTCTCTTTTTACCTTCTAAGAGCTGATGGGAGGAAGTCCTGGTTTGCGCTTTGACACTCACATTAGTGCCTCTCTCAACCCTCATCAGAGAAGCTTCTTCTTGCAGTAGATAGTGATTAATGCAGAGACTCACATGCAGTCAACATGCAAAGAATAAGGGACTGTGGACTGCTCAAATCTAAGCGGGACTCTGTACCTATATAATCTTGCCTTGTGTTCACCCAGCACTTGATACACGGGTGTTAACCGATGCATTCCTCGCTATGCTGACTCACCTAGAAGCCTTTCAATGACATGAATGATGAGCCTTGGACCATGCCACATTACAACCCTGTGGTGAGAGCCACATAGTACCATGTTGGGTTTCTTAACTAAAAATGCAATTACAAATTATATTTAATTATTTTTCAATTATGGCGTGTACCCGCCATATATGTGTATACATGTGTTGACAGGTGGACATTTGCTTATGCATGATTTTTAAAATGTTCCAGGAGATGATGCAGTAGGATGGGATGAGTATTGGATGGGATTCCAGACATTTGGAGTTCCAGTCTGTGCTTTGGATCTTAGCTGTGAGAATTGTTACAAGTGCATTGGCTTTTTTAGGCCTCAGTTACATCCATGAAATAGGTGACTTCAGTGTGCAGCATTCCTCTGATTATTTCTGAGCCTGAATTATTTATTGGTGAGAAATCATTGTTGGCCTATCCAAGCAACATCTCTGGAAGGAAGTACTTCCTTATTAAGATAAAAATCAGAAAGATAGGAATCGTGGCTCATACATAGTACATACATCACAGAGTTGTTTAAAATAGGAAACAGTGAAAACAGCAATGTAACTAAGCCAATGATGGACCACCCATGAGATAGAAAAATGTAGACCTGTAAAAAGGTATCAGAAAAGCCCTAACTCCATGGGGAAACAGTTGTTGTATATTGTTAGATTAAAAGAAAGCTAGCTACTTGGTTACTCTATAGAACTTGCTTCTGAGACCCTATTACTGAAGACAGCATGCTTGAGTCATAGGACATGGAGAAATAAAGCCAATACCAACCTGGAAGCTTCATTCCTACTGGCTAGCTTTTATAGTCCTGGAAGGTTCTTTGCATGCTACCAGGGGAGAAAAGTCATCACTACTTCTACCCAGCTTTGAACCTATGAACTACAGTACTGACTAGACTGCTGATATATCTTCTGATGTAATAGAGGCATGAATAATGTGGAGTAAACAACCACTGTCTGATTGGAATTAAACCCCACACCACAAAATAGAACCTGTGCCTGTACTGTTAACTGGACCAAAAACCTGTGCCTGGCTAGGTCATAGGTCATAGGGGACAATCTAGTACCATTATTCTGCTAAGTGGACACAGCAATAAACTACCCCCAAGTTCTTTTCTTTATACCTACAGATTACTTCATCTCTCAACCCTCATCAGAGAAGCTTCTTTTTGCAGCAGATGCTGATTAATGCAGAGACTCACATCCAGTTAACATGCAAATAATAAAAGACTGTGGAATGCTCAGCTTTAAATGGGATGTCTAGGTCATTTACCCAGGACTCGGAGATCGCTGTGAAAGAGGGATTAGAAAGACTGTAAGAGCCAGAGGAGCTGATGTTGTTTACAAGATATGACAGTGCCATTGCACACATGAACTCACGGTGGCTGGGGCTGTGTGCACAAGACTTGCACAAGTTCAAGTGAGCCGAAATCCCAGAATGGACTGGGAAATGGCTCGTGGAGTCCCATCTCTAGCTGAGGAACTCTTGGCAGTTGATGGCTATTCAGAAGGGTGAATCCGCTTCTTCAAGGATTTGGCCTGAAAGGCTACCTATGCCCAGTAAATGGTTTCACACCCATACACATATAGGCCTCACTAAATGGACTCAATGGGTATATTTGAGAGAGAGAGAGAGAGAGAGAGAGAGAGAGAGAGAGAGAGAGAGAGAGAGAGAGAACATGAAGATATGAAAGAAATGTGGTAGGAGGACAGGGGAGGAGTTGGAGGGAAGGGACTATGGGGCAGATGAGACCCAAACACATTGTGTGTATGTAATGAAGAGCATCACAGATAACTCGAGCTCCCATCAAGTTGGAAGCTGTTTAGAAGGTACCAATATTCAATCCGAATGTGACACTGATCTACAGAACATGGATGTGCAGCCACACAGCCCTCTCTTCTTGCTCTTTACCTTTAAAATTACATAATGAGAAACTGCTAGAAAAGAAAAAAATAAACTCAGAAGGAAAACCGGAGAGCTGTGAGAAGGGAAGGGGCACAGGCAAATGGCTCTAGATCCTGTTTACTTCGTGGAGAGGTAGACACACTAGACACACGGGTGGAGGAAGGACTGCAGCAGTTGGGGGTGGGCTGTCACAGTGGCCAGGAAGCCAGAGGTGGCCAATGGGGACAGGGTTCACCTCTCTGCAGAAAGAAATTCTAAGCTCCAAGGTTGCTAACAATGCAGCCTATCCAAGCATGTGATTTCATTTAGTCTTGAACCACCCAAATCCTCTCTTGAATATTAAATTCTGTTGAAAGGCATTGTTTGTGGAATTCTTATCTCCATCCATGAAAGAGGAACAGAATTACAAAGGCTAAAAGTAATTACATTTTCAATAAGCCTAAACCACCAATTTCTAAATGGGTTTTCTTAATTTCAATACAAAGTCATATAAATATTTCACAATTTCCCCTGAGCCCCTACCTCTTCTTCTTAGAGGCTAGAGACTAAGTCACTGATTAGCTATTCTTATTTTTGCAAACACAAAAATATTTAAAATATAGCCACATCCTGAATCAAACAAAAGTACATACTAAACGTCTTAAGGAAACGATGTTTGAAATCCACCACTTCATAAGGAAGCTGAGTGCCAGGGTGTGAGGCTGGGGCTGGCCTTTCTTCAAAACGTCAGAGGAAGCTTTGGCTGAAGAGGGAAACCTGGCTTTTCCAGATGAAAGACAGACTGTGTCTTCCATGTAGTGTTGTCTTGTGTTCCCTGGGAACAGATAATGTCTTGCCTCTGCCAGAAACACAGGACTTGACCTCCACCCTTCCAAACCTGGGCCCCTTCCCCTTTCAGGCAGATAAACAGTAATGAGCCGAAAGGACAGAAAATAGGGAGGTGTTTACTGTAAGATAATGAATCAGACTCTCCAGCGAGACAAGGATTCCCTAAGAAAAAGCCACCTCAAGGGTCCCACTTAATAATAAATTATTGTTTTAGTGTATTCAACTGCACCCTAGAGGCCTAAAAGAATTATGGAAAACTGCCTGATTTACTTTTACAAAGTGATTTACACACTCGGGTGTAATCTATCTCAATAAATCTGAGACTCTACAAAACAAGCCACTCGCAAGACAGTACAAAGCAGGGAGATTTCAGTTCCATTATTTACCACCTCTCAACCAGCTTTCCTCAGAGCCAGCGCGGAAGGAAATAAACACAGACCTTCTCTTTAATTCATCCTGTCATGTGAAGACCGCTTTCTCACACAGCGCCCAACCAACCCCTTCTCCCCTCTCTCACGTTTCCTAGGTACAACCCAAATTGGCATGTTCTTGGGCATTTCCAGGGGGCCTGACAGTGAGTGCACAGGTCTCATACCCACAAGTGATGGAATGAAGCCTGTCTCCCACGAATCACGGCTGCTCATTGTTCCCATCTACCTGCCTGTCCTTCACTTGTGCACATAGTCAAAAGGCGACCCTCAAGTTCAATTAACGAGACCATTCATTACCTGAGCACAGAGATGGCAGCTGAAAACAGATCTTCATTAAGATCAATCTTCTGTGACTCCGTGTCGAGTCTTGACTTCACCAGACTCTTTTAAATTTAATATTTATTAGGGTGCTTCCCCAGAGAACAATTGCTCAGAAGATGCTGCCAGAAGCTGAAACATCATTCATTTCAGAGCAGTTTTGTTTATGTAACTGTGGTTGACTTGATGTTCAAGCCATTTTTTAAAATTGAAATTTACTTATTTGTGTGTATGTGTGCATGTGTGTACATGTATGAGTGCATGGGTGCCACGGCCTGTGTGTTAGGTTAGAGAACACTTGTGGGAGTTGGTTCTCTCCTTCCACTATGTGGGTCCTGGGAAACTAACTCCGGTCATTGTTGTTAAATGCTGTTATCTATTGAGCTATCTCACTGATCCCAGCTCATATCTATTTGTTTTTATTTAATTCATGTAGATGTGAGTTCTGCCTGCATGTACTTCTGTGCACACTGTTGGATCCCCTGGAACTGGAGTTTCAGATTGTGGTTGCCATGTGGGTGCTGATAATCCATTCCTGGTCTTCAGGAGGAGCAGCCAGTACTCCCAAACACTGAGCCATCCCTCCAGCTCCCAGATGGTTTTGTTATCTGCAGTCACCCTGCCCCTGTGAACCGTGGTGCCAAGCAGGTGCTTACACTACCATATCCATCAAGCTGCACAGCACCGAGTCCCTGTTCAGGAATTGCCACCGATGGTTAGAAATGGCGGCCAACAGAAAACCTCTCATCTATAATCTTAACATGACAGAGATGGATCAGATTCCCCAGCACAAGGTGGATGCACAGCTAGGTTTATTCAGATAAATTACCCTGACGGTCTGAAAATCCAACAAGCACATTTCAGAAGTCCAATGGCAAGATCTCCTTTCCTGTTTCCATCCTCTAGATCTTTCTAATACACAGTTGAAAACCCAGCCAGCCTTCCACTGCCCATGAGGCATCTTCTGTTTGTGTGTGGGTCCCACCAAATGTCAGCCTCTACTTACATGTTGTTCATAAGATTTGACAACTATGGCAGCCCCTCCACTCTGGGACTTCTGGATGGGCCTGGCTTGCAGCAGGTTTGAGGGCTTCTCGTGTGAGTGAAATGCACCTGGGCCAGGTGACCAATGACCGCTGAACAAGGACAGACGCCTTGTTGCTCCCTGTTCTTGGCAATCAGTGTCAGTCTGGAATGTAGAGGAGAGTTAGGAAGGTTGAGTTTTTAGGTTGGCAGGGTTGTTTGCTTTCCTAAGGAGGCTTTTGAAACATCTTCTCAGTGGCAGAGAAAAGGATGCTGCCTACTACTGAATAACAATAAAACAACAAAACCCCCACAAAAGCTGCTGATCCAAAGACCTGTCGAGTAACTGAGAGGCACCAGGCTCTCATCACACACACACACAGAAGCAACTAGAAAGTACAGATTGGTTCATCGTGCGGCTGGATGATTTTATGTTTTTAAAAATGAGTTGTTCGCTTAGTTATCAAAACTAGGTGCTTGGTTGTCTATTGTACCTTGCTTCCAGTGTGATGCTGGAAGCATGCTCCATTGCCTGTGTGGTGTTATGATCCAAAATGCTCAACCAGAGTCAGTCATAGGAAGCAATAAGACAAATCTAAATAAAGGAAACTAGAGTAATATAAGACAGTTTGAGTCATGGGTAAACTAGAGCAGATGGTAACGACCAGGGACGCAAGCCTGGTGGGTGACCTGAAGTCGATCCCTGAAACCCACACGAAGGTGGAAGGGGAGCAGTGACTCTATAAGTCATTCTCTGACCTCCACATGTGTGTCACGGCATATGTGACCCTCCCCTGCATGCACACACACATACATACATGTACACACATATATACACACACATGCTCACCCAGATGCACACATACAAATAATAAAATTTAAAAAAAACACACAGTAGGTGCAGACTTAAAAGTACCAAGTGTTTGGTTTGGACACGGAGTGTCCTGCAAGTGCTCCAGCTTTGTTTTAGGAGGGAGAGAAACTCAGGACACAGGGTGCACCTGGCAGGAGCAAGTCACGAGGTCTCCCTGGCATGGTCTGTGGTTCCGTTCCTGGTCGGCCACTGTGGGAGGAGCCCTGGCCACCATGAACTCCACTGTCTTCCCCACCAGGACAGACTGACATCCTCTCAGAACTGTTGGCCACAGTGGGCTTCCTCTTCCTTTGCTAAGTTGGTTCTCTCAGGTGTTTTGGTTACGGAGATGAGAAAAGCAAATAACATGCCAGGGAGCAGTAAAACAAGCATGACACACGGACTGGGAGGGCTCTTTCCTAAGTTAAAGGGATGTGAAAACTAAGGTACTGCATGAGACGGAATTGTATAGTAACATTTTTAAAGCTATAAAAGACAGTGTGCGTGTGCATATGTGAGTGTGTGTGTGTATATGTGTGTGTGCCTGTGCATGTGTGTGTGTGTACATGTGCCTGTGCATGTGTGTGTGTGCATGTGCCTGTGCATGTGTGTGTGTGTGTACATGAACCTGTGCATGTGTGTGCATGTGTGTGTGTGCATGTGTGCATGAGCCTGTGCATGTGTGTGTGTGCACACGTGTGTGTGCATGTGCCCATGCATATGTGTGTGTGCATGTGCCTGTGCATGTGTGTGCACATGTGTGTGCATGAGTGTGTATGTATATGTGTGCATGTGCCTGTGCATGTGTGCATGTGTGTGTATATGAGTGCATGTGCCTGTGCATGTGTGCATGTGCCTGTGCATGTGTGTGTGTGCATGAGCCTGTGCATGTGTGTGTGTGTACACGTGTGTGTGCATGTGTGTGTGTATGTGTGCATGTGCCTGTGCATATGTGTGTGCACATGTGTGTGTGCATGTGCCCGTGCATATGTGTGTGTGTGCGTGCCTATGTGTGTGTGTGCGTGCCTATGCATGTGTGTGCACGTGTGTGTGCATGAGTGTGTATGTATATGTGTGCATGTGCCTGTGCATGTGTGTGCGTGTGTGCGTGTGTGCCTGTGCGTGCGTGAGTGTGTGTGTGTGTGTGTGTGTGTGTGTGTGTGTGTGTGTGTGTGTTTGGCTCACTCACCCCCTACCTTATCCGAGAGAGAGAATCTCTCACTGAACTTGGAGTTTGGCTGGCGGTCAGCAAGCTCCAGCAATTCTCCCATGTGGCCCTTCCCTCCAGTGCTAAGGTTACAGGCACACATGTGACCACGCATAGCTTTTTATGTGTCTAGGGATTTGAACTCAGGTTCTTATGCTTAAACCTGCTGAGCCATATCTGGGAGATAATGTTTCATTTTTATGATTTTTTTTAAGATTTATTTTATTTTACGTGTTTAAGTGTTTTCTCTGCATGTATGCATATGCACCATGTGTATGCCTGGTGCCTACAGAAGAAGGCATCTGATCACTTGGAACTGGAGTTGTGCATAGTTGTGAGCCACCATGTGGGTACCAGGTCCTCTTCAAGAGCAGCAAGTGCTCTTAACTGCTGAGCCATCTCACCACCTCTGACATTCTATTTCTTGAAATAGGGCTTGATATCATGGTCTTTAACTCATAATCATTCTGCCTCAACTCCTAAGAGCTGGGACTACAGGATGCATCACTATGACAGCTGTAAAAGACACTCCAAAGAGATATTTTATAAATCTGAATATGGACTGTACATTAGACGTTAAGTTGATGTTGACTTTCTTAGGTACGGTCACAGTGCTGGGACTGAGTGGGTGTCCTTTAAGGTAGATGCTCACAGATGAAGTATCACAACGTTCAAAATCTGCTTGGACTGAGGTACCCTGATGCAAAAGGTCCAGTCAAAGATACATATATAAAAGAAAGCAATGCCATCTGTGGGGAGAATAACATGGGCTGCACTTTTCTTGCAAATAGAGCACATTCTAAGGGACTTGCCTGGCTGGGTTCTCACCTCTGTTCCTACTGGAAGAGACAATGAATGCTTGAGGTTGTATTCATACCTGGGGGATGAATCTAATGTTGTAACTCTAAAGAACCTGATGAGCAGCTTTAGGTGCCAGAAGGAAGTCTGTTCTCCTTGGAAAAAAGCCTTTTAACAAACACACTGCTGGGTCTTGTTTTCATCTTTAGGTATGAGACAAAGACAGATCATATTTCAGAGACTAGAAGAAGCTGACTTAAAGCTAATCACAGGAAGAAGCAAAGTGGTGGGTGCTTTGACAAAGACCTTGGCTACTGAGACTCATAGCCACTAAAAAAAATATGAAGAGTCCTCTCATTATGCTGTGGATAGGCTTGGAGAAGGAGGAAATGAATTGGTTTTGAAGTGTCTTTTCATATCTCTTATGTGCTAGGCACTTGGCAGATGCCAGAACCCAGATAATTCACTGGCCATCTCTGTGCAAGGTAGTGTGGGACTCGGGCTCAACCCAGAGGAGAAAGGGTTAACTTACTGCCTTAGGATAGGAGGAGACAAGTGGGGAAGATTCCCTAGTGTGACCCAATGCCCTGCTCATGTATGACTAGGGAGGAATGTCAGGTATTCACCAGCTTCAGGCCAGACCTAAGGTTTGAGGGAAGGGCAGTCTAAGTATTTTTTTTAAGATGATGGGGCTGGAGAGATGGCTCCTTGCAAGCAGGAAGACCTGAGTTTGAACCTTGGAACCCACCATTTAAAACATCCAGGCAGGGAGCTGGGAAGAGTTCAGTCTGTGGAACCACTTGCTCTGAAAGCATGAGAATCCAACCAAGTCTGGGTTCCCAGCCTGTGTGATAAGCCAGGTGTGTGATGTCATCCGCGATCTCTGTGCTAGCAGTAGAGAGATAAGCCTATCTTGGGGCTTGCTGCACAGCCTGCCAGTCTGGCCAGTCACTAAGCTCCAGGTTTGGTGAGACCCTGTCTCAAAAAATGAGGTGGAAAAGGAACTGGAAACAACACTGGACACTGACCTCTGTTCGCATATGCACATGTACATGTGACGGCTTGCCACACACACCCTTGCATAGAACCATGTACACACATACACACAGTACAGGAGAGGTGGAGACGCCAGAGCCCCGAGGTTCAACATTGTGAGTTCCATGCTAGTGAGAAATCCTGTCTCAAAAACAAAACAAAAAAGGTGGATGTTTCCCAAGAAATCAATACTAGGAATTGTCTTCAGGACTCTACATATGTACACTCCCACATGTCCAACATGCCTGCACACATATATACCTGAACATACCTAAACATGCCCAGATACAAAAGCCAAACATGCAGTTTACTTTAATTGACACTCACATGCTGTGGTGGTGCAGAAAAGCAGCGGACTTGCACATGACTTTGTTAAAAAGCAGTTGAGTTAATGATTTCCAAAAGCAAAACTAATCACGTAGTTGAAAATGAATAATCTCTACCATCGCATATTTTCAATATTAGCAATTTACTTTTCCTTTATTCTTCTTTCTTTCTTTTTATTTTTTTCACCTAGGGACATTAAGACAACTTTTATTTATTTCAGAAATTTTGTTTATTTTAAAAGAGTCTCTCCAGTTGTTCCCCTCCTTCGTTCCAGAGCCATGATTTGTCATTTGTTTTCATTCCACTTGCCTGACTCTGCTGGGTGGTTTCACACGGTTCTTCTGATGTGGGCGCAGGAGGACCAGACTGGAATCAATCAAAAGGTTCGACAATGGAGTTTGTTTAGAAACAACTCCAAAGCAATGAGAAATCATCGGTCAAGTAAATTCTAAAGAGGATTTACACTGTGCACAAAACCTTGACAATCTGAACTGGTGATTTGTGACATTCACTTCTAAAATATCATGAGCACAGTTATAGTTTAGGGAACAGGTGGAATTAGTCAGAAAGTGAAAAGTCAGCCTTCAACATTCCAGGTCATTTTTCTCACTGTAGCAATATGCACTAAGGTGATATGATTTTATTTTCATCAAAGCCGCCGTGTGGTCATCACATTAACAAGGGTACAGCTGGGGCCCACAAAAGGAGAAGAGTACTCACTGTTTTTGTAGAAGACCAACAAGATGGCTCACAACTGTCCTTAACTCCAGTTCCAAGGGCTCTGACCTCTTTTTGGCATCTGTGGGTACTGGCATGTACATAGTGTACATACTTATACGCAGGAAAACATTCAAACATGTAAAATAAAGAAATCATAAAATAAAGAAATAAAATAAAAAGAGTATGAAAAGGGGCAACATCAAGCAAAGAGAAGATAGTAATGCCGTACTATCTCTAGATGTCTGCCAACTGCCACCGTCCTCACCTTGAAGAGCCCAGGCTGCATACTTCTGTACATTTATCTGACTTGTGCCTCCAACACCATCAGGATGGCTTTCCTCAAGGTCATCAGCAACTCCACTGTCATATCTATCAGAAACGGATCACTCTGTCTCCTTGGAACACATCATTCCCGAGCAGCATGGTATCCTACTCCTCTGCAGGCTCCCTCTTGTTCCCTGAGCTCCATCCTCATCATCCTCACCTCTCTGCCCTGAGTACCAGCGCTCAAGGAATGCTCCCTCCACCCTGCTTTGTCCCTGCTTTGTGCCTTTATGAACCCTGCCTTGGTTCAGCAAGTATCCATTCAGGACTGTTAAGTACCCAGCACTGTTTTAGTTTAATCAACAATTTAAAGAAAGAAAGAAAAAAAACCCATGCTTATATTCTTTTTGTACTCTCTCTTATTCTCTCTCTGTCTCTCTGTGTTTGTCTCTGTGTCTGTCTCTCTGTCTCTGTCTCTCTGTCTTTGTCTCTTTCTGTGTCTGTCTCTGTCTCTCCGTCTCTCTGTCTCCTTCTCTCTGTCTCTCTGTCTCTCTCTCTGCCGTATATATGTGTGCACATGGTTTTATGAGTGTGGACACACATGAGGATGGGTGCACATCCACATACCCCATGCTTCCGTTGGGAATTGTCTTCAGTTGCTCTCTCACTTTGTTCACTGAAGCAGGGCCTCTAAACCAAACAAAGATGTGGTTGGTCACAGAAGTCAGTCTTCCCAGGCTAGGATTATAAGTAGGCAGTCCTGCCCACCAGGCATTTTGTTTTCTGGACATCCAAACACCAGTCTTCGTGCTTACACAGTGAGTTCCTTAATAGCTGAGCCCTCTTCCCAGCTTCCATCCAGATAGCACTAGGATAAATTAAAACTATAGTATATTAAAGAGTAATGCACTGAACTGAAGAGTGCCTTGCACCACCACCCAATTCCTGTTTACATGCAACCACAGAATACGATTTTATTTGGAGATAAGCTCTTTGCATATTTAATTAATTGAGATAAGGTCACCCAAGACTGAAGTAAGCCTTTGTGCTGGTTTCTTTTCTCATCACTGTGCTAAAATACTCAAGAGCAATTTTAGGAGGGAAGAATTGATTTTGGCTCACATGTTGAGGTGATGCTGTCCATCATGAAGAGAAGCTATGGAGGCAAGAGCTTCATGGCAGCAGGAGTTTGCAGCTGAGATGCCTCACCTCCTCATATCTTGGAAACTGGAAGCAGAGTGGACAGAAAGGGAGGCTCTGCTATGAAGCCTCAAGACACACCTCCAATGCCACTTTCCACCACCCAGGCTCCACCTCCTAAAGGCTCCACAGCAATTCTAGCTAGGGGACCAGGTTTTCAGACATGTGAGCCTAAGGGGGACTTTTCACATTCGGGCCACAAGAGCCCTAAATTCAGCAACTGGTATATCTTTACATGTATACCATCAGGAAACAGAGAGACCAAGAAGGAAGAGGGCCAAGTGAAAAAGGAAGCAGAGACTGGAGCATCTATAAGTCAAGAAACACTAAGAATTGTCAGGAGAGAGGCATCCCTCAACCAAAATCACCAAGAGGTTTTATCTCATACCTACAAGACTGGCTTAAAACAGGAAAACAGAACAACCCCCCAGATGATAATATGAGGCTGGGGCAGTTCAGTGGGTAAGAGTACTTGCTGCAAGAGCAAGGGGACCCGAGCTCAAATTCTCAACACCCCCCAGAAAGCTATCGAGACTGTGTGTGCCTGTCACCCCTGCACTGAAGGGTGGAGGTGGGGGAATCCCCAGGAGCTTGCCAGTGTATCTGAAATGATAAGCTTCTGCTTAGTGAACTGCTCTGTCTCAAATAATAACAGTAATAATGATTATGTGGAGGCTGTCAGACACATAATGTCTTCCTTTGGCCTCTGCATGTGTGTGCAAGAGTATGCATACTACCACACACACATGCATAAATATTGTAGAATATTATTGTAAGGTGTGTTACTTTTGTTTAGGTTGCATTTGTTTAACTCTGTGATCTGTGTTACCATGCCTGTCTAAAACACCTGATGGTCTAATAAAGAACTGAATGGCCAATAGTGAGGAGGAAAGAGAAATAGGCAGGGCTGGCAGGCAGAGAGGATAAATAGAAGGAGAAATCTGGGAGGAGGAGAGGGAGGAGGAGCAAGAAAAGGAGGAAGATGCCAAGGGCCAGCCACTAAGCCACCCAGCCACCCAGCCAGCCACAGAGTAAGAATGAAAGTAATATTTACAAAAGTAAGAAAAGGAAAAAGCCGAGAGACAAAAGGTAGATGGGATAATTTAAGAAAAGTTGGCTAGCAACAAGCCAAGCTAAGGCCAGGCATTTATAATTAAGAATAAGCTTCTGTGTATGATTTATTTGAGAGCTGGGTCTCTCAAAAATATAATAACAACCAATGACACATGTATGTATACATCACACACACACAATTTTAAAAGCTGACATTAATAAATTTAGGGGAGGATGTAGAACAGTTGGAGTTCTTGTTAACTGCTGGCCATAATGCAAAATGGTAAGACAGTTTAGGGGAACTTTCTATTTTTTCTAGAAAGACAGCATACATGTAACCTTAGGAGCAGACATTGTATTCCTATGTGGTTAGCCAAGAGAAGTGAGACTAAATGACACACATAAGAGTCTGTTCAGGATTGCAGCAGCTTTTTCTTTCATACTATGAGAAATGAAAACAACATCTATGTTTATTAACAGATAAATTATGACACATTCATCTAGAGAAATTCTATTCAACAATGAAAAAGAGCAAGCTACTGATTCATGCAACATGGATGAACATTATGTTGAGTGTAAAAAGCCAGAACCAGAAGAACACAATGTGTCTGATTGCTTCTAAGTAAAAATAGGCAAAGCTTCACTTCTGGGAATAGAATCAGAATCTTTGGGGGAGAAGCACCAAGAGGAAGCTTCCTGGAATGATGGGTGCCCTCTAGCCCTGTTTTGATTGACATGGTGGTTACATGAGTGCATCTGTGCATCGATTGTTTTGATTACATCTGAAGATGAGCATAATCAAGCAAATCATATTTTTGTATTAGTTAGTGTTCTCTAGAGTTACAGAACTTATAGAATGAATCTCCCCTCTCTCTCTCTCTCTCTCATATATATATATATGTATATATATATATGTGTGTATATATATATATATATATATATATATATATATATATATATATATATCACAATTCCCATCAAAGGCATGTTGTCTTCCTGCCCCAAGACCAGGACCACAAGTGTGCCATCTATATTTGGATTGTAGTTCATTTCAGATATAGTCAAATTGACAACCAAGAGTAGGCATCACATCTTCCAACAGGGTTCTGGAGAGCAGAGAAGAAGCCATAGCTCAGGGAGGTAAAATTCAGAATTCTATGAGGACTCCTTTCCTTAGAAACCCTGCTTGTACATCTGCTAGGTGTTGTGGTGTGGGTGTTGGGATGCGAAGCTTTCATGCTCTGGGATGGAAAGATGAATGAAGTCAGCCACTTGATTGGCATATATTCCTCCAAGCCATGACTGTCTTCTGTTGAGCTGTAGACAGTGGGTCTTCTCTACACCTGTCTCTGCTCCACATCTACCATGAAGGGGGAGACACAGCTGTACCAGCTTTCCTACTCATCTGACCTAGATTTGTCATGGGCATCCATACATCTGCTAAAAAAAAAAAAAAAAAAAATCCATGTTTGCACCCTAAATCCCTGCAGATAAAAGGAAGGTGTCTGCTCTCCAAGGCATGTTTGGAGATGAGTGCTGCATTAAAGGGCTCACAACCTCTGCCTCTGCATCTTCCTCATCCTCATCTCCTCTTCTTACAGTGCATCCTAGCCTAACAGAGGAGCTTAGGTTCTGATGGTAAACAAAACAAGCAAGTTGCTCCTGGAAGCTTCTCAAAGAGTGGGCAATCTAATTAAAGACACAGAGTGCAGCTTCTGGGCAGTGCCATCCGATCTCTGGTGCTCTAGCCTGAGATCAAGAGAAAAGGACAATAAGTGTGAGAACATAACGGAGCGGAATGTTTCTGGGGGGAAAGAACTCACACGGGGAACAGAAGAGAGAAGAGAAGAAGGAGGAAAGGAAGGGAAGGAGGGGGAGAGAGTAAGAGAAGGAGGAATCACATGCACGAGCAGGTTTCTGAGTGCATGGCATTCAATACAGACAGTGCTAGAAAATCCATCAGAGACTGGAATACAGCCCCGAGTTTCCAACAGCTCAAATGTCATTGTTATAAGTGTTAACAAAACTCATTTTTAAAATGTTACAAATCTGGGTTCTAGGTCTGGAGAAATGGCTCGGTGGTTAAAAGCACTTGCTGCTGTAGTAAGGAAAAGTTTCCCAGCACCGGTATCAGGTAACTCACAACCACCTGGAACTCCAGCTGGGAATTTGACACTTCCATCTCTGTGGGCATCTGCATGCAGGTGCAGAGCCCCCCATCTTTATCCATAAATAAAATATAAATATTTTAAAAAGAATATATTAATACATTTTTTTAAATGTTTGGCCTTTGCTCAGATATTTTCACTCATCCCAACAGCTGGCTAGTAGTTGTGTGTGTGTGTGCATGTGTGCGTGTTGTGCATGCGTGCGTGTGTGTGTGTGTGTGTGTGTGTGTGTGTAAGTATTAGGGGAGTCAGCCAAAGGCCTGCCATTTGATAGACAGATGCTCTACCATTGGGCTATATCCCAAAGCCCATTTTTATTTTGTTTTACTTTGAGGCAGAGTCTACCTAAGTTTCCCAAGCTGGCCTTGAAACTGTCTTTTAACCCAAATAGGCCTTAAACTTGCAATTCCTCAGCCTCCTAAGTAGCTGGAATTATAGGCCACCAGCCCCAGTCTCTTAATGGCTTTTTGTTTTCTTTTAGTGATCACAGGACCCTTTCTGCAGAGCACTTGGGGTGTGTTTATGAACGTCAGCTCAGTCTGAGGCTCTGAGAGGCAAGGAGCAGCCTGGCAAGGCTGTGCAGCTAGAAATGGATGACCATCAGAGCTGAGCTGAGCTGGGGAGGCAGAGCTCCTGTTTTTAGACTGTCTGGGGTTAGGACCACGGTCCTCTTGGACCTTGGACTTTGCTGGAGGCATTCTGTTTTCCTCTGATAGGAACTTGATACTTTCTCCATGTTGAACTGTTTGGCAGCCAACAGCAAGGGTGATAATTCCCTATTGTAAAACAGTGACCGCTCTGTTTGGATAAGGCCAATCATAATTTATTGTGGTTTTAACCTCTCTGTTGCTTAGGCAACCAATATCCTGAATTGAGTTAAGCTTACAAATTTATTACCTGATAACACTCATCCCATCTCTTTGTGTCCCCGTCAGAGTCCCACTGACCCTCTTAGAGCTGACCCTACTTTAGATGAACTGTGTGACCTGTGACTGCTGTGTATGTGAAGAGCTGGGACAAAGGAGTCATGTCTCACATGCAGCAGCAGCCTGGCTGCTTGCTGAGAGCACCAGGCAGAACGAGCTGAGGAGACCCCATGTCCATCTTTCAGTGATCCTACCCTCTCCTACCAATCTGTTTGCTGGAGAATGGGGCAGCTCATTTCTCAGCAGCTGGACTGATACATGGCAAGTTCTGCGGCACAAAGAGCACCAGTGTGAGGTTCCTTAGTCTATTCGGGAAGTGTCAACACCTCTATCTGTCTCTAAGCCCTTTTACCATAACTAAACAAAACAACCAAGTAGTATTAGCGGTGCCTCCTAACAGCAGGAAGCTGTCTCTCTCAGGCCTGGAGGCTGTGGAGAGCTCAGCGTTAAGGAGACTAAGTCACAGTGGCACTTTCTTGCTGTATCCTCACATGACAGAAGGGATGGGCAGCCTTGGGAGTCTCTTTTACAAGTGCTGGAATCCCACTAATGAGTATTTCCTTGTGACCCATGCCCTCCCAGGAGCCCACTGCCTATGACCTTCATACTGGGGATTAGCTTTACCATATTTTTGGGGTGGGTTGGGGGACAGAAACATTCATCTCACAGATCAGGGTTTTGTAAGGATACAATCCACTGGATGAAGCCAAGCTTGGGGATGTTTGGGGCCTGGCCTCTCCCTGACTGCTGGCAGGAATAAAAGGTCTTTTTGTTTTTTCATCTTCTTCCTGGTGCCTTAGTCAGTGTTCTGTTGCTGTGAAGAGACACCATGACCATGGCAACTCTTATAAAGGAAACATTTAACTGGGACTTGCTTACTGTTTCAAAGGTTAAGTTCATGATTATCGTGGCAGGGA